AGCCAGGTTCTCAATCTTGAGTCTTATATCATCTACCGAGTTGCAAGGAACATCGGTTGCCCAGCTTTGGATCACCATATCTCTCAAGCTCGCATGAGTCTCCCACATAGTCTCGTATCTCAACTCCCTTTTTTGCCCTTTCGCCCTTAGCTCGGCCAAGATCCAGAAGCAAAGCCATATGGTCCGATGACGCCACAACCTCGTGTGTTATAGAGGCTGACAGTAATCTCGCCAACCAGTCTGAATTTACCAACCTTGTCCAAACGGCATCGAGTAAATGAACCACCAGTCACTCTCTTTTCAAACGTCCAGAAACAGCCCTTATAGCCTAAATCAAGCAACATGCAAACGTCAACCGTATCTCCAAAAGCCTGGATTTCTGCATTACTTCGTTCCCCTACACCCTCATGCTCACTTGGACGTAAAACTTCGTTGAAATTGCCTATGCATAACCATGGAAGGCTATTTAAAGTACCGATGTTTTTGAGTACAGTCCACGTTTGGTGTCTAAGATGGGTTTGCGCCTCCCCATAGACACATGTCACCCTCCATGGTTCCTCTCCTTGTTCTGCAGCTGAAACATCAAGGTGATAGCACGAATAACCGAGAATCTCAACTTTTATTGCATTGTTCCAAAATAAGCCAATTCCACCACTCCTTCCCTGACTATCAACAGCATATGAATTATCATAGCCTATCGAGCTAGCCATAGCTTCTACCCTTCGACCATCTATCTGTGTCTCAATGATACAAAGTAGGGTAGGGGTAAACTTCCTCGCGAATTCGTGAAGCTCTTGAACTGCCGCAGGTTTACACACACCACGACAGTTCCAGCATAGTGTATTCATTGGGCTCGGCGGCGCTCCTCGAAGGAGCCCGCCAAAGAAGTGACGATATTGCCATGACCGACACATTTCTCCAAGTCCTCATCCGCTGCATCTATGTTTTTCTTGGCTCTCTTTGGGTCTTGCTTGCTGCTCGGGCTCTATGGTATAGCTGGCGAAGAGGTTAGAGCTAACATTATCCCAGGACCAGAACTGTTTGCTTCGTTGTTCACCGAGTGCTTCATATGTTGTTCCCTCTTTCTGTTGTTATCAGCATCGTCCATGACGACATCAGATTCAGAACTCATATTGTCCTTCCCATCATTACCATCACCCTGATCCGAACGGGGGTTTGCACCACGGGCACCACGGCCTCCCCACCGCCCTCCTCTTCTTCCGTGGCCCCCTCCTGGGCCTTGTCCCATCCTCATGACCCACAAGGCCCTTAGATCTTTAAAGATCAACGTGGACGGAGGATGCATACCATTACCATGCTCTTTGAACTGGTGCCCCAACATGCCACAGACCGCACACCAGTCCGGAAGTTTCTCATACTTAATCCTGTATATCTGACGCTGCCCCTCTCTTATCATAGAAACTATGTTCTTTAGAGGCTTATCAACACTGATCCGGACGCAAACTCGATGGAAGTTGCCGGCAAAGTCTTGCGATTGGGGTTCGGCGTAGATGACTCTGCCAACCTTTGCTGCTAGAGAAGGGACAAGACGAGCATACAGTGGTGGTACATCATGGATGTGTGCCCAATTTCTATAGTGTCAAGCTGCACTGTGACGGCTTTGTCAATCCATCATACGGCTTGAGGATGACAACATCTCCTCGGAAGTGCCACGGGCCGTCCCTCGTTACTCTTTCCCAATCCCCCAAGCAGATGTCAAAAAGATATTAATTTCACTTACTTATATATGTAATCTCTCTCTCTCTCTCTCTCTCTC